GTTCAAAAGTTTGGGGTCAGTACATTTTTATTCTTTCTTTTTTTGAAAGAAATTTAAACTTTTATTCAGCAAGGATGTGTTAAACTGTTAAGAAGTGATAGCAAAGATTTATATTGTTAGAAAAGATTTATAATTTGAAAATTGTTCTTTTTAACTTTTTATTCATCAAAGAATCCTGAAAAAAGTATCGCAGTTTCCAAAACAAAAAATTTGGCAGCACAACTATTGCCAACATTGATAATTCTATTAATAAATCAGTAATAAATGATTTCTTAAGGATCATGTGACACTTTATACTGGAGTAATGGACAAAGTAGTTTCGCTTTCACAACGAAACACAGCGTCACACACGGCGGGCTAGAGTGAGCGGAGGCCGGAGGGCTAGAGAATGGCGCGGCCGGCGTATTCGACGAAGGAGGCTTGCGGCAACCACATGTGACGACCCCGGGCTGGACTCCGCTTCGTCCACGGTGAAAGCCGATCCGGCGATCCACAGCGCGAAGTTGATGTATTTCTTCAGCGACCAGCACGGATCAGCTCTAGGCATGACGAAGCAGATATCGTCCTCTTTTGGAAGGCCAAACAAAGTAGTTTCGCTTTCACAACGAAACGCACAGCGCCTTCATGACATCAATACAACAATACTACAGCGAGAATAAAAGTTACGCCTTCTTTCTTTGCGTGAACATTTGGGCGGCGTTATGCAAATCTTCCCACATCGTGACGTAGACATGTGGGGGCGTGTTAGAACCAGCCGTTTTAGGTAGGCGTGGTTGACTCTTAACTTTTATAAAGAATATCTCTTTGGATTTGAGACTTTAGTCTTTGCAACTTTACAGATCTTCTTTATGCACCAAGAGCTTGTAAAACTCCAAAAAGAAAGGAAGAATTGAAGTCGCATCATATGACCCCTTTAATACATATGTATTACATTTTATTTTTATGTATCAGATTTTATTTTTAGATTTTATTGATGATTATAGAAGATTTTCTTAGATTTTAATTTTGTATTTTTTGCATTTTAATTAAATTTTAAGTTTTAGTAATTTTGTTTTGCACTGTATTAGTATATCAAATTTTAAATGATAGCTTGGTGTGAGATACTGAAAATTAAGCTATTATGCATGAATGCAAATGTGGGATAGACTAAATCTTTTATGGTTCTTTTCTTGGTTTGGAATGACATAAGGATGAGTAAATTATAACTAGCATATTACTGGTAATAAAATGTACATTTTGCCCCAACAGTTCATAGCCAGCCTATTCAAAGTCACCCAAAGGCGCACAATCACTTCCTAAAACTAAGCTTCAAAACAAACCTGAAGGCAAAAGCAGTGCACTCACGATCAACAAAAACAGGCCTTCATACAGACTTCACACATCCCTATCCTCACCCAGGTTCTTCCTGTTCCGCTGCTTTGTCTTGGCTCAGTGAGAATTATGCAAATGTAGGCCAATACATAAGCTGGCACAGAGCTGGCACACAGGTCGAATCCTGATGTGAGCGGATGGCAGAATCAGCTCTGCTGTGCCACAGCCTGCTTGACACTTTCTCTCTCTCTTGCCGTCTGTCTCTCCCTCTCATTTCTGTGCCCACGGAGGACAATGGCTTCGTTGTGCTCTACTTCTATTGAACAGAGTCTGAACAGCCCTTGCACGCAAAGCGTTGTTGATCAGCGAGTGTTTGAGAGCTCAGCGTTTGCTTGAAGATACAGAGTTATTGAAGAGTAAGCACAAACCCGTAGATTCAGTGTTCTGCAACTTCTCCTTTAGGCACCACAACTTCTCTCAACTCTTGCCTGGTTGTCTTTGTCTTTCTTCTCTATGATTAGATACTTGCATTGAGTAGCGTAAGACTGTCTCGTGAGAATTTCTTTCGAAAGTGTTGTTCTCTCTTGCTCCAAGATCGCTCCGACTTTTTTCCGTTTCTGGCTGATATGCAGGTTAATATTTTCATGTTATGTTTGATAAAAATCCAACACTATTTTATCAAAATTTTTATTAAAACAACTTATTTTATATTTCCATCATTACAATGTACAGTATAAAAAAAAGTGGATAATCATTTTGAGATTTGCACTGTTAAATGTTTATTTAAATGAATTTATATTTTGTTAATATTTATAGTAATATTTTAACATTTCAATTTAAAAGTAAAATGTGCAATTTTCTGCACCATTAAACGGAAGTGCATTCTGTTTAAGAACACAAAAAATATCATTTAAAATGATAAAAAAATATATATTATTGTTAGTTCATATTTTGAATTAGACTTAATATTAAAATTTTAGTTAAAGATTTAGTAATTTTGATGTGTTTTTGTAATTTAATTTTTTTCAGTGTCTATGTTGTTAATTTTAATTGATTCGTTTTACTTTTACTTTTTATAATACTTCATATTAGTTAAAAAAATATATTTAATAGTGTTATTAAACTATTCAATTTTTTAAGGATTAACTTTAAGTTAACATGCACAATTAAATAATTGATAACAATATCAATAAATCTTGATACCAATAATTTATACAAATGGAAAAAAAAAATATATTGGTCAAAATATCACTAAAATAAATTGCATGTCAGAAATATGCATTTAATTAAACAGCGTTAATAGATTACAAGCAAACAAAGTCGATCGGTGAATGTGCAAATTTAGCTTTCACATATGAGCAGGGAGCGAGCGAAGAGTGGGAAGTAGAAAATCCAGAGTGAACCAAAAAGGAAATTAATTTCAAAAGGCAGACAATGTTATTAACTTATTTTGATTTCAAGATTTCTTTGACAAAGATTTTTTATTTGGAATAACATGCACAATGAATCGTGCACAATAAGACTAAGAACTTGCATTAAGAAGGTAAACTGCAACTTCATGTTGACTTAAAAGTTGTCCAGTTGCCTGGCTACAATGTTTTTTTCTGTGCACCATGGCTATGAGAAACAAAACTATGATGTAATGATTATTTCTCAAATAAAAAAGCGAGGGACAAAAATAGAAATTAGTAAATGCTCTAAATGCTACACCCCTGCTTGTAACACTTGTAATATTTCCCTTCATGCCTCATTTCGATCATGACTTTGAACGTGCACAGGCACGGCGGTGTGAACCACGCGGGCTGAAGTACCATCAGACGCCATAGATTGTGTTGACAGCACGGTCTACATACTTGTCAGGGCGTAGTTCGGGTTCTCCAGCTCCATGCGCTGAATCTGGGCTCCCAGGTAAACTTTGATGTCGATGCCCTTGGCGCTAGAAGACGAGTTGAAGAAACGAGAAGGGATTTTTGAGGCGATGTCGGGCTCCTCACGCCCAAAGCCGAGGTTGTACAAGATCTCCTCTGGATCCTCCTCATACAGGTCCAGAAGTTCTGACACGCTGCAAGTAAAACAACATCCATGAAAGACACACACCTGCATCTACCCATAGCAATGCATTACAGTCACTGCATACAAAGATCTTCAAATAACTCCACTGTGTGACCTTAGAAATTGCATTTGTTTTTCTTTTACACAGACTTGATTTTAAATGTTAAGATCGGTGTTACTAAAAATGTATTGATAATATTTATATTCATATATTGAAACCTTTAACAGGTAAAGTGTGCAATTTCCGGCATCATTAGTAGTATCAAAAAGAATTGCAATCTGTTTGTTCGCAAACATGAAATAAGACAAAACTAAGGCCGCAAAGAGTATCTGAACACTTAAGCCATACTTAAAAATGTGTTAATTGCTTAGACAACAAAATATTTTAAAAAAGGCATATATTGAAAAAAAAATTATAAATAAATACTAAAATATAAAAAAATGACTTATAAACATAAAATGATTATTTAAAATTTATAATATTCAGACTCCTTGTCCAATCACTGGTTGAGTTGTTGCTGTTTCACAAGCCCTGAGATTTTGCATGTGTTAATGACCATAGTACATCATTCTTGTAAAGTACCTGGACACGGTGGTGCTGCTTTTTCCAGAGCCGGTGGAGTTCATACTTCTGCCCTTCTGCTTGAACTGGCTCCTTTTGGCCTTGGCTGCCATTTCATAGCTGTGAAAAGAAGACAGTGACCCGCCTGTGACCAGAGCAAAACAGAAAGAGATGGGAACATTTTGGAAGTCCTACTTACCCATTGGCCTCTGTTTTTGTGCTGCTGTTCTGGAGGTGATTGGCTGTAGAGATGGGAGAGAGAAAGAGGAATAGAGGCTTAATTGTGCTGGATTCCTACCTAATTTGATACCAAATTCCCTTGAACTAACCTCTCGACCTTTGATACAACAAGTGCAATTACCAAAAGCCCTGGCTGCCATTTTAGCATAGTGGGAGTTGTTAGAAATTCGTTACGAAAGAGCTTTATTCAACGTTGTGACAATGTTAATTTCCAAAAGTGATTTATTAAGCGGAGAACCATCCACTCCGGATGACGATCCACAACATTTTCCTTAGCACTTAGCACACAATGACAGAATTATACGCGCACACATCCTAACCTGCCAAACGATTCGTGTTACAAATCACATTAGACACCAGGTTTTAGCTCACTAAGGAGGACAGGATTGAACACAGAGACGTGGTGGACATTAGCCAGAGCTTTTCTGGCCTGAAGCGTCCTGGCTTACATGCACTCACCCATCAGCCTCAGGTGAAAATGCTCAACCTCGAATTTCCACAGAAATTCCTACAACTGGTGCTGCCTGATTTCTGTGCTCTTGTCAATAAGAGTGGATAGAGTCATTCAGTGGAACTAGTCTGGACTCGTTTCTTCACATACAGACACACTGAAGGGTGAAATCTGCTCCACTGCAATAGCACAATAGCTTGCGGAGAGACTTGTGAAGAGCGTTTTTTCCCTTGGCTTGTTGTGTCGTTTAAACTAGTCATTCTAGAACTGTAAAAATACACCCACACATATATCGTAATTTACCCAGAAAATACAGTATAGTAAAGGTCCAATTATACAAGCAAATAACGCAAGTCCTTTTAACAATATTAATAATGTTCTTTAAATGTTATTAACTTTACGTTATAAATAGTTTTAATTGTTGTTTTTTTAACATTGAATATTTCTGAAACAAATTATTTTAGATATTTAAACTGAATTGTATTTATATTTATATTAAACTAAATTTATTCTCTCTCTCTCTCTCTCACACACACAAACACACACACATACACACACACAAACAATCTCTCTCTCTCACACACACACACATACACAAACATATACAATTTATACTGATATATTTGAATATAAATATATAACATAGGAAACTCGTTTAGTTTTCAAACAAAAATTCAGCTAAATATTTTCAATAAATACATACAAAATTTATGACTGGAAAATGTTCCATTTTGGACCCCGATTATGCAAAAATCCACTCCCTAATCAAATGCTGTGCATCAGTATAAAATAATTCCTGACTGCAAATAACTGCCAGCTAACATCAGACTTCTGCGACACTTCTGACATTGAGACCTTGTGGAATAAAAAGTGAGATGCAAAGTCACTTTTATTATTGAAACGTTCCACTCCCGCTAACACATGGGCCATAGGGCGCACACCATGAAACCAGAGATAAGTTATCTGATGTGCCAAGACCAGTCTTTTAACCTGAGTATCACATGCAAGAGTCTGCATGTCGCCCTGTGTCCTTGTGCAAACTCAAGGAAGCACATAAACCAAAGAGAAAGTAAACACTAAACAGCACGAAAATTGACAAGTGACATACTATTATAATACTTTAAAAAACAAAAAAAAACAAAAAAAAAACCAGACATAACAAAATAATGCCAGCAGTCATTCTTGTTTGTCAGTCGATCCATTAACCTCAAAAAAGTTACGTTGAATTCTTGAAATTCTTTGTCACATTCTCACAAAGGGGCACACTTGAGAGCAATTACAACCGATTAAGGGAGAAAGTGGAGAGTACTTACCCTCAGCTCCCAGGGATAGGTCATCTTCAAAGCTACAGCCATTCTTTAATGGCCCTGAAAGGCAAAGAGATCAGCTTTCAGAGAGCAAACACTTTTTGCTGACCCATCGCGATGAAGAAGTGATCATTTCCCTTTCTCTTCCCCATAAAAACACTTAAACACATCCAAGTAGCCCTTCAGAGCCTGAATGTGGCTTTAGCTCACATGCACTGAGAGGTTAACGGTAAATATTTACTCTTAAGTGCAATTACCTTAGTTAAGTAGTTATAAATAATGCCGATGCAGTGACCTGATCCATAACACATTATCCTGCTCTTGGATTCGGTCCTGTTTAGTATTCAACTCTGAAGAAACGTTCATTTAATCAGGCACTTCTTTGCCTGGAGTGTGTGGGGGTCTGCTATTGGCCCCAAAGCGGCGTGCATGTGTGTGTGTGTGTGTGCCAGTGAATGTGCATGCGCTGTAGTGCATTGTGAGAGATCTTGCTCCAAAGTTCACAAGGAGTGGTAGAGGAGAGTCAGCAGGCAGTTGAGTAACTTTTTGCAGTAAAACCTACTCCAGACTATCATAGCTAACATGCAAGTGGATATCTAGCTTCTGTAACTTCAAATAAACACACCGTTTCGGTCTGAAGAAGATGAACTCACCTCTGGATGGACTGCCGCTTTGTTCGTCCAAAGAGGCCCCGAGAGGAGTCCTGTTGAAAGATCAATAACACGTCATATCCTCTTTCTGCTCGCCAAATCTCTCCCTAAAAAATGTCACTCGAGCAGAAACACACAAACACCCTTCCCTCTCTTGAAGTGTTATTTGCTTCATACAACTGCTTACAGAGATTCTCTTGGCATGAACTTGTCGTCTCAACACTTACAAAACGCTGCCTTCGAAAGCCCCTTCCACTTTCATCCAGACACCTGGAGATCCGAACGGCGTGAGAAAAAAAACACACCACGTAAAACGTGGCTAAGAATAGCTCGTGCTCTGCCGGGTGCAGGCCATGTTTCACAACACCAACAGCAGCAGCACCACCACCAAAGCCTTTCTAGCTCCGGATATCCAGCAAACTCTCGGCGGTGGAGACAATTACATTTCCTGTCAGGCTGTAGGAGGATGTCTGTCTGGTGTGTGTTTAATGATAATGAGCAGGAATTGGGAATAGGACGAGCACGAGGTATTTTTATTGACCTAGTGTGTGGCGTTGATGCTCAAACACGCTGCATCTGGGTTCAATGGGGGAGTTTACACTGGGAGCATTTGATTAAGTCAACTGTCAAGGAACAGATCAGCCAAAAATAAAATTTTGGCATTATTTACGCATCATACCATCTCGAAATGTTTATTTACATTTATTAACAGCTATTTTTTTTCAGTAAAACAAATAAATTAATAAAAAATATATATAAATAAATTTAAATATATTAATACTTTTATTCAGCAAGGATGCATTAAATTGACCTAAAGTGACAGTAATGTTTTATAATGTTCCTAAAACTTTTATAATGATCAACAAATTAAGAGCTGTTCTTTTTAACTTTCTATTCATCTGAATTGATGATGATAATAAGACATGTTTCTTGAGCACCAAATCAGCATATTAAAATGATTTCTTATGGATCATGTGACACTGAAGACTGGAGTAATGGCTAATGAAAATTCAGCTTTGCCATACAGGAATAAATTATATTTCAACATAATCAAATAAAAAAAGTTATTTTTAATTGTAATAATATTATAGTTTTTACTGTATTTTTTTTATCAAATAAATGCAGAATTGGTAAGCATAAGACACTTTTTTTCAAAAACATTAAAAAAAAAATTCTTACCAACCCCAAACTTTAGAACAGGACTGTACATGAAATTTTGACCCATTTCAAATGTTATTTGGCTCCATTTAATATTTTTCTTTTACTCAGACAAAAAAGGCATAACAATAATTCCAAACAAGTGGTTTTGTATTTTACTGTACCAAAAATGCAAGAGTACAGCCGTTGGCAGTGGTCAAAATGATTTTTGGATTCAATCCAGCTTTTAAACTCAAATATTCAGGTAACAATTAAATATGACATCATCAACAACAAATGGTTTTCACATGTTCCCTGAAAAAATTTGAGTAAATGACGCTAAGCCAAATTTCCAGCAACATTCAAACAAATAGGCTTCCTTTTAGATCACAAGATGAAACGGCCATCAGGGACACGGACCAGCAATTCTGGAACCTGTTTTGTTTTTCAGGTGGAAGGTTTATGCCGGTCATGAGGGACGTATATCTACTAGGGATGTGCATCTCATGACTGAGGCCGATACGATACGCATCTCGATGCATAGCCAACGATACGATACATTAAAGATACATATGAAGCAGCTACCGATGCGATGCGATACGATTCACCCGTTACGATGCAGGGCGATCCGATTTCGATTCGATTCGATTCAACACAATTCGATGCAATGGAGAAAATATGATCACTTTTAATGCCTCAAGGCCTGTTTCATAAAACAAGTTAACCAAATAAGCCAGGCTTATTTCAGTTAGTCCGACTCATTGTCAAATGATTTGGTTCCATAAAGCAAATTTAACATAGATCAACTTCAATCACCGTGGCAACTTATGCTGGAAAACTAACCTGGTCTAAAGCAGGTTAACTATCAGACTAAGCTGAGTTCCTCTAACACTGACCAAAAGAAACGCTATTTGACTTTTTTTTTTTATTTTTTTTTTACAGTTTCTAGCCAAGCAGAAAGGCTCTCTCTGGTTTAATGACAGCTGTACCTTTGCAGAACAGATAGCAGAACAGAACATTACAATAAAAAATTGCTCTTTAAAGCATTAAAATAACTAAATTAAAAGTTAAAATCACTGAATTAAAATGAAAATAAATAAAGAAAATGACTTCTAAACTGCTATAAGAAGCACACATTAACTTTTGAGCTTAGTAATTAGTACTGTACTAGCTTACATTTGATTTACCTAAGAGCAGGCTGCGCTTGTCAAAGGAGGGGGCTTTGTAGAAAACGAAGCGTTTGAGAGAGGCGGGCATAGAGGACCTACAATAATGTACAGTATTTGAAAAACAATGTGTTTTTTGAACATTAAAGCATGTCAACATATTCTGTTACACCAAATACACAAAATAATGATCTTTAAAATAGCATCATATGACCCCTTTAATTTGTCGTTTATGGAACCGCTTTAGCCCCGACTGATTTGTTAGATAATTTCAAGTCAGGTTTTGGACTTTAATCCCAGTTTTTTCTCGGGTCTCCGTGGTGTTGTGATTCGTCATATTCACGCAGCAGCAGCGGTGATGAGAGAACACGCTTGACAAACAAATACATAGATCACAGATTATTGGTCACTTTCTAAATAATAAAAGTATAGTGCATCCACTAGTAATTATATATAAATAAATCGTTTTTTACCGATGCAAATATGTTAGAAACGATGCATCGCGATACAAATGGCGACTTGTAGCCGATACACACTTTTTAAACCGATGCATCGCATCGTTAACTTTTTATCGGGGAGCGAATCGGGGAATCTTCCCATCCCTAATATCTACAAAGTAAATCAATGGCTTTTTCCTCCTACGCTTCAGAGCCAAACAGTCGTACACCTAAAAAAACAAAAAAAAAACACAGCCTGGCAGTACAGAAAGAAAGGCTAAAAACTCTCTGAGGAAAACTTCAGCATTAATGGGCCCCCACAGACCCAAACAAGCCACCAAAAAAACCCCGGCAGCACAAAGGACAATAGTCAGTCCTCACAAGTAATGACTTTGCTGACTCTGGGAAGATCACGGTCTGAACTCACTGAACTATTCACACAATTCTCTCAAATGTACTGCTTGTCAGAGACACCAAAGCCAAGGGACAGAATGCTTTTCTATGCCGCATCTGAGCGTTTTGTTTACTTTCCAATTCCTATCATACTGTGGCGTGTACGCAGATCTTTCTCACACCATTTGCATTTGTATTTTATGAGCAGCGAGTTTGTTATGCAACTTACCTGCAGGTCCTGAGCCAGTTCTCTACTTGATTTGGTTTACGACCTGAGGAGAAAAAAAAAATACAAGTAACTGTTCCGTGTAATAAACAAATGAATTTCCCTAAAAGCAACAACAAGCAAAGAGGAAACAACAAATCTAACAGCGACAACAAACATAGAGCGGTTCTCTGAACTACCACTGTGGTCTGCGATTCTTTCTTTTTCCAGAAACCTTTATTTGCTCTTAATTGGTTTATCATGACTTGAATGGAGAATCAAATGCCAAGCCGAGCAGCCAAACCTCTGTAATCTCTCCCTGCTGTGTTCATTAGCACATTACAGCTTCCAGTACACCTTCCCGCAGAGCTTCAAACCCCCAAAATCCCAGCATCGAGTTGAGATTCTCAGATATAAATGACAAAACTGTATAGTTTGCATCTGAAAATATAAATACCACGCTAAATTTGCATACATTTTTCAGGGGTCAATTTATTAGAGTATTTACGGTAATCTCTTTATCACCGAACCTTTATAATCAGATAAATGTTGACATTCACAAAATGCAGACTGTTATCTTAAGGCTTAATTCATGTAAAATTTGGTAAAAGCAGTTCAGTGACACTTAAAGAGACAATACAATCCATGAATTCATGAACAACTTCAAACTGTCCATTTCAATCAACTATTTGTTAACATCGTCACTATATATCTGTGTGGTACAAGTTTCAGTTTGGTATTTTTTATTTCAAAAACATTTTAAGTAACAAAATATGATGGTAAATATTGCTGTTTATTATTATTACTATGCATTGTTATATTTAAATGCACAAATTAAAATGACGAAAAATCTTTCTTAGTGAACAACAAGTATTTTAACTAGATATCTACTATATTTTAGTTCTTGCATTAAATGTTTTCAATCTACATGGCTGTGACAGCTGATTGGTTGAAATGTCTTCAAATTCAACTCTAGTACTATGTATGTAGTATCCGTTAGCACAGAAACAACAAATCTGAACTGTTACGACATTAACAGAAGCACTCTACCTGTTTCTGAAGCTGTCGAAGTCTTATCTTCCATAGGCTGGGCAGACAGCGGCTCCTCTGCGCCCTGGTCCTGAGACTCAGAAGCCTGCCAAGAGTCTCGGCTCTGAGCCCAGGCCCTCCTCTTGAATCTGGCAGGGGGGGACTCGCACTCCTCCATGTCCTTGGCTCGGACGGGATACTATAGTGTGGGACGGTTCACCTGCAGAGAAGCGAAAAGGGATGGGCTCAGACCTGAATGACATGACAATAGCCAGGCCCCCCTCTCTCTGGAGGGATCGATTGCAGGCCCAAAGAGTGATGTCTTGTGTCATAAAGCAGATATGTAAGAATCTTCCTTTTCCGAACGAAGTCACATTAACCAAAACTGTGCACACATCTTAAGCTCATTTGAGCACTTCAAGAACAAAACTACAAGAGCGAACATGTTTTTGATGCATTAGCTGCACATGAGGTTTAAGGGTGTTAACTGAAAACACAGTGTGTAATCGACACACAAATGTTACAGCACTGTCTCCAATCGCACCGATACTCAAAATCAAGACCCAAAAATGACCTTAAACTAGTGGTTCAACGGATCACAAATCTCACGGTTCGGATCACATTACGGTTTTTGACCCACGGATCGGATCATTTTTCGGATCAGCAAGAAAATAAAAAATATTTCAATTGAACTTGCTTTCCATTTATTACTTAAAGCGAAGTACTTCTTTGATACCACAGCAAATACTACTAGATTAACTAAGAAAGTTTAAACATGATTAAAGAGACAAGAGAACAGCCAGTAAAAATAAGAACAAATACACAAATTACAAGCATAGATAAATACAACAGAATATGTTACAAATAAAATAAGGTTGGTAGTAAAATAACACTGCATAGTTTTCACTGTATAAATTAAATCTAGATTTTTATCACAGCTGTTTTGTTGTTTGATGATCATTAATGACAGCAGCCCCGTCGGAAAGCACGTGTGCATGCTTCATGTGTGCGCGGCTGTGGGTGTAGAGAACAGCGCGCGGGTAACGAATCGAGTTCCCTCTCGCCTTTTCTCTCTGGAATTATTTAAAATTCGCTTGCTTGTGTAAATACGAACAAATGATAAACTTATACTCTATTATGGTTAAATTTTGCAATTAATCCACGGATCACATGCGTGCCAAACCGTGAGGCTTGGTCCGTACGGATCACGGATCAACTACGATCCGTTTAGCCACTACCTTAAACAGACAATATTCCATAAGAAATGTGCATAGCATACAGTACATGGCCTCGATCCAAAACAGACACTGAAAATATATGTACAGTATTAGCCTAAATGTGTATGAATTCCCACTTTCAAGAATTATTACAGTAGTTCTCATATATACCAATAAATGTTGACATGATAATTAATGTAAATCTGTATGGAGTGAGTAAAATGCATGTCATAAAAGGGACTCTTTGAAAAACAATCATACAGTCAGAATTATTTTGGCTGATGATCACGGTGTTAAAGGATTAATTCACCCAAATATGAAAATGTGCTGAAAATTTACTGACCCTCAGGCCATCCAAGATGTAGATGAGTTAGTTTTTTCAATGGAACACATTTGGAGAAATGTAGCATTACATCACTTGCTCACCAATAGATCCTCTGCAGTGAATGGGTGCCGTCAGAATGAAAGGCCAAACAGCTGATAAAAACATCACAGTAACGCACAAGTAATCCACAAGTAACTACAGCACATCAATTAATGATGTGTGTTTCATTAATTAGTGTTTCACTAAATGATTAGTTTCAGCAAAATGTTGTGTGTTTGTAAGAAACAATTCCATCATTAACGCATTTTAACTTTAACCCATCACTTCTGGCCAAAATACAAGCCCATAATCCATAACAACACTTCCTCTAGTGTGTAAAAAAAAAAAAAAAGCCTCTCATATAAAAAATCCACCGACATATTTGTTTAGAACTGTTTTGGACTGTTTTCAGTGTTTGATCTGAGCATATTTCTCTCCTGATTCAGACAAGACGACATTTTCACTGTAGAAAACAATATTATGGATAGAGACCTAGCCAGAAGCAACAGTCAGAAGTTACAAATGTCTTAATTATGGATTTATTACAAACATGCAGCTTTTCACTTCAAGATGTTAACTGATGGACTGGAGTCATGTGGATTACTGTGATGTTTTTATCAGCTGTTTGGACTCTCATTCTGACGGCACCCATTTACTGCAGAGGATCCATTGGTGAGCAAGTGATGTAATGCAAAATTTATCCAAATGTGTTCCAATAAAAAAACTCATCTACATCTTGGATGGTACTTTTTCAGAAAATTTTATTTTTTTGGATGAATTATTCCATTATAATAGCAATTATCTGTCGCATGTTTTTGTTTAATAATAGATGCTAAAGGTGCAGAAATGACACATGCAGCTTTAAATGGCATAATCCTCCTGACACAGTCAGACTAAATAGTCTAAAGAGAACATTTTTCTGCATTTAATATATATTTTTATTTCTATATATAACATCACAAAAATGTGATAACACAAATAACCTAAATAAATAACCTAAAAAAAATAAAGAAGAGAGAAATTGGTACATGAGATGTTTGTGTTCAGGTGGTCAAAGGATCTGACCAATAGCAATACATTTTGCTTAGCAAGAACAAAAAAGTAGAGGGAACATTGCTTCCAGAAATTACTGGAAAATCAAATAAGAGATGAAGGCCATGTGAAGGCAGGGACAACAAATAACCAGAAGGAGAAACTAATAACATCTACAGAGATTCCAAAATTCCTGTCCATAAGCAGCAAACCGAAGAAAGGGAGGGAGAGAGAGATGGGGGCGGGGACAGGGTCTTAACTGGAATAAATGGTAAAAAAGAAAAAGTCAAAAAAACAAGTAGAGCAGGAAATGTCTGTTTAGTTGAAAGATTACAAGCTGGTGCGGAGTCATTTCCTGTTTTGGATCTAGCACTTTTTGGAGGAACAGATGAGCCTGACCAAATAGGATGGATTTATAACTCAGCGTTCTGATCTCCCACAATTCACACACAGCTATTAATAGCATGTGTCTATTTTCAGACTGATCATTGAAGTGTGACAAATGAAAACCACCAGGAACACCACCACATTTTATTACCAAAGGTGATTATAAGGAAACACGTCAACATTGGGGAATATACCTGCGCGAATACACCTTACAGAAACATAATTTATAACAGTGATTCTCAAAATAAGATGAAACAAGCATTAAAATAAGCTAAAACAACAACAAAAAATCCAACAATCTTGGAAAACCTGGATATATGAGGCAGATATATAAAGTGGAAAAGTCATGGAAATTAATAAAATCTTAGAATTTCATGGGCATTTTTAAAATGAATATACATTTTACTAGTTATGTCAAGCTCTAAAAAAATTTATTGGCTTGAAATTGTGAGGAAAAAAAAAGAATTAATTTTGTGATTACCGTATTGGCCCGAATATAAGACGACCCTGATTATAAGACGACCCCACTTTTTCTAGATGTACCTTTTGGAAAAAGGCTTTTTAAAAACCAAATCTTGTTTTTTCTCAGTAAAACACATTTTGTCTTCAATTATTTTCATATTGCATATTTTTCCT